AACCAGTTTAGTAAAGCAGCAGGTGGGAATGCAAAATGGCCCAACTACTATGGGAAGCTGTGTGGAGGACCCTCAAATTACTAATGATAAAAATGGAGCTTCCATATGACCCAGCAATTCCACTCCTTGGAGTCTGCCCAAAGGACACAATAACATTAATTCAAAAGGAAACCTGCATTCCTATGTTTACTGCAGCACTATTTACAATTGCTAGGATATGGAAGCAACCTAAGTGCCCCAAAAGAGATGACCGGATCAAGAAGATGTGGTACAGGGCCTCCCCGGTGGCGCAGCGGTTGAGCGCTGGATTGCAAAGCTGCCTGCACCCTCTGCAGCGCCGGTTCGATCCCCGGCCACCAGGCCAGTGTCCCACATGGTGCACAGACCTCTTCTGCCGCCCGCTGCTCCCCTCAGCAGTGTACTTCGTCAGTCTGCCTGCTCTGTTCCCCGCTCTGACTCTGGTGAATCCTCTCACCCTCCTGAGCTTCTGACTGTACCCAGTGCTTGTATGAATAAATAAATAAATAAATCTTAAAAAAAAAAAAAGAAGAAGATGTGGTACATATATACACAATGGGATACTACTCAGCAATCAAAAAATATCAATAAACTCATGGCATTTGCAGCAACATGGATGGAGCTGGAAAGGATTGTGCTTAGAGAAATAAGTCAGAAGGCGAAAGAAAAAATATATAATGGCTTCACTTATAGCAGGAATATAGGGAAACTGAACAAAGGGTCAGGAACAAAAAGACAAAACTAGCAGATGAATTATAGATCCAGTGTGGAGCCTTTGCTTGGGCCACCCTGGAGAAGGCCAGAAACAAACGCAGTGGAAACTCCCCATGTGGTGGAGACTAACTTTTCTCAAAAAGTCTTCTAGCTTCACTCCCCACAACCAAGGCCCAGAAGGACTGTACACAATCACCTGCTGTTTCCCTGCCTGGGGGTGGGGGGCACCTTGTCTAGTGTCCAGTGGTCTCAGTTTCTGCCTGGGGAGATGAGAGAGGAGGAAAAGAGTCACTGCGGGGGAGCAGGGGGCACGGAAGGATGGTGTTAAGGTGCAAGAGACAAACTGGCAAGGGACATGCAACCACTGCCCCTGCTGCCACCACCACCACCACTTTTATGGGCGCCAGTAACCCCTTTAGTCCCAGTTGTCAGTGGCAAAGGATGGGGAACTCCAGAGGCGAGGCATCAGGCCCTCACTTGCCAACAAACAGCCCAAATCGGCACTGCCCTCAGCTGGTCAAATCGGTTTGATGAAATGTAGGCACATTTTACATGAATGTTAATTGTGTTAGGCTGTTGGTGGGGGCCTCTGCTACTGAAGCATATCCCATCCTGACTGCTGCCTGCACTCAACCAATGTTGGGTAACGATTCCTGAGCATCTGGCAGACTGTCAGCATAAGCACTGACAGTACTTGTTGTGGCAGTCGAGTTCGCTAAGCATTCCAAATGGGAGCAAACATATATGCATTGACTGATGAATGGAAACCAGTCTAATTCTGCTCTGGTGTGCACAGAGCAGAACAATCCTTTGTTTTTCCACACTACAATTATTTTATAGGCATGCATGATAGTCATTATAGCAGCATTCACATTATACTTCTTTCTCAGTTATCACTTAGGATCACCTTTCTAGTCCTCGCTAGTATCTTTGATAGGCTCTTTGGGAACTGCAACTTTAAGTGAATAGACGTGTAATGCAACCAATTTCACCATGCGCTAATCGATATAAACGAGTTACATTCCTGGCCACGAAAACACATCAAACTTCTAAATAAATCCTCACAGAATCCCCACCAGCTAATATTTTTTTTAAAACATGGGGTAGCTCCCGGAACATCAACACCAGACACCCACCAGGGCAACAGGCACCCCATAATCACGCAAATGCTGCATCCTGGAATCAGACAACTACAGCTGATTGACATGGTCACCCTGAAAGGCCCAATGTGCCTGGAGGACGCCCAAGAGACTGTCCCGACATGAACTGAGCTAAGGGGCACCCCCTACTAGAATCCTCAACCTCCATCCCCTCATCCCACACCTATGCAAGGTAATGTATCAGCGATTTCCAGGAGTTAAGATGTGGAACTTCGTGGACACCGCTGCCCTGCCCACTGCCCTCTGCTCCCTCTGCTGTGTTCACCTCCCCCTACCTACCTTGGGTGTGCCAATTCCCCCGAGTGTCCAGGGAGACGGGTTGCCTGGCCTCGGTGTTGGGCTGGCGGTGGGGGGCGAGGGAGGTACTGTGCCCAGGAGCTAGGCAGTGGGCAGAATGACACAGGCTGGGGCCCAGTGTTCTCCAGGCCAGTAGCCGCTGCCTCTGTGGCTACAGAGGAGGCTGGAGGGCAAAGGCAAAGGGGACACAGCGAATAAGGAGAGAGCCTACTTCCTCCTCTCCCCTGGACCCAGATGTATTACTTTAACCTGAGTCTCAGCAACTGCGTTTCACTTCCCCTGAACTGGAAGATTTGGCACCTCGCAACAGAGGACCCGTGCACCCAGAGGGGGAGAGAGGCTGGCAAAAGGAGTCACCAAGAGCCGTGTGCATGCCCTCTCTCAATGCATTTCTTTTTTTTTAAGACTTACTTATTTTTATATAAGAACCGGGGTACAGGTTAGATGCGGGGGAGGGTGAGAGGATTCACCGGAGACAGAGCGGGAAACAGAACAGGCAGACTGAGGAAATCCACTGCTGAGGGGAGCAGTGGGCGATTCAGGAGAGGTCTGCTGCGCCATGTGGGATTCTCGCCGCCGGCGGGCCAGGATTGAACCCGGGCTGCAGAGGATGCAGACAGCTTCACAGTGTGGCGCTCAGCTGCCTGCACCACCAGGGAGGCCCTCAATGCATTTCTCCACTTCCTCAGCCTGGCAACCACCGCCCCCACCTCCCCGGATAGTGCGTGTGCCGGACTTCTCCCATCTCACAACTTCTCCGAGTGTCTTGGCAGGCAGAAACCCCAGGGGCAAAGCCTCACCTAACCTGCTCACTCAGACGGCAGCCCACGCTGTCACCCCTCCAACATTAATCACTGGGGACAGAGTCAGCCTTACCTAAGCAGTCAAATCTGCCTTCCCACGTGAGGGGCTTGAAGGGGAAGGATCGAGCCCCATGGACATCCTTGTCAGGCCCGGATTGTTCAGTCTGTGTTCTGAGCACCCAAGCTCATGCACGACGGGGGCCTGGGAAAGACGAGGGGTGCCCATAGGGACAAGGGTGGAAGCAAGCCGGCCCAATTTTCCAACTTCTAACACCCGGGAAGTGCTGGGTTCCGCCCCCAGCATCCGGTGAGCTCACGCGGGGCCATCTCCCAGGGAGCCCCTGGCCGCAGGCAGACATGAGGCGCGGCCCAGCTGCTCTGAGGCCGCGCGCCCCTTCCATCCCGCGCACAGGAGGCTTCAGACCGCATGGTCCTGCCGGAGGAGGATGCAGAGCCTGCTCCAGGCGCTCCGACATCTCGCGTGGCCCGACTCCTGCTCGGGGAGTTTGGCGACCTCCAGGTCAGGCCCCTAAAGCACCCCACGATTTAGGAATTGAGCAACAGCCGTGGACAAGGCAGACCCGGCCCTTGCTTTTGTTCCTTTGATCCCTGCCGGGTGCTGGACCACAGCCTACTACTTACTCCCCTTTGACCCCTGAGAAACACCTTCCTGCCTCCGAGAACATCCCCCGGGACTTTCTTCCCAGAAACGCCAGCACACGCACGGGACCCGGGAATGTTCCACCCGGGGTCAGGCCCACTTCTGGGTATTAGACACCCAACCCCTCGAGAGAGGGGGCCTGGCAGAGGGAGGTACGTGCACCGCACTCCAACACGAACACGTCCCCCTGAGTCTCAGGCCCGCACAGCCCCACGCCCCTCCCCGCGCAGGGCCTGGCCGAGGGAGGGAAGCGATTCCCCACCCTCAGCCAGAGGCGGACGTAAACATGGGGCTCGGGTTGTAGCGACTCCGCGGTGACAGCACGCCGCGTTGTATTAATCATGTGTCGCGTGTCCCCCCGGAGGAAGTCCGGGAGGCTGAGCTGGGACGCAGAACTGTCAGTTCCGGGAAAACCCGTGTCCGGGGGTGGTGAGCACGACTTCCCTGGACCACTCCCGCACATCCGGACCCGCCGTCCGCACTTGCCACAGCAGCTGGGCCCTCGCGCTCCGGAGCGCGGCGACGCCCAGGCTGGAGGCGGGCCGGTGAGCTGCTTAGGACACGCAGGATGAGAACGCTCCCGGCGACCGCTAGGCCGCCCGTGTCCAGGTGCCAGCGCCCGGCATCCCCCGAGTTGGCCCAGACGCACCACCAGAGACTCATTCCCCAAACCTCCCCCCAACCGAAAGGCCTCCCCACTGGCATCAAAGGTGAGGATTAGAGAGGAGAGGAGGGTGAGCCCCGGGTCCCGCCTGAGTCGCGCGGGTGCGCGGTGGCACCAGAGGGAGATGAAGGCTCCATGGAGAGGACAGGGCCTGAGACGAGGGGAGTTGGGCTCCTCTGCACTCTGAACCCCCGCCGAGTCACAGGTGCAGAAAGGGCCCCCAGACAGAGCCGCAGAGGTCCAGGACGCTGGTGACAGAGATGCAGGGCGGGCTGGGAGAAGCAGGGCAGCGATCCCAGGGAGGGAAGGAAAGAGGGCTGGGAGCTCTGCAAGGGGGTCACGAAGCCCTGCTGAAGGGGAGGGGAACGGCACCATGATGAGACCCCGTCGCCCCAAAAGAGGAGGCAGCCCAGAAAGAACACACAGAGGGCCTGCAGGGAAAGGAGGAGGGGCTCCTGTGGCCGGGCAGAGCCCACGCAGAGCCCAGTCCCAGGTGCGGTGGAGCCCGGTGCATGGCTCTTGCTCACAGGCTGACCCGGGCTGGCCCAGATGCCCGACGGTGCGGGGGGTGGGGGTGGGGGGGTGCACAGGGGTGGGCAGGAGACTGCAGAGTGCCAGAGGAACTCTTCTGGAAAAGGTTCTGAAATGGAGCAGCTCCCCGCCCTATCCCACAGAGAGGGCAGACCACGGAACATGACAGACACTTTAATTTGAAACTGCTGTGAACCGGGGTGGGCAGAGGGCACCGGGAGGAGGAGGAAGGGAGAGGGCTGACGGAGAACAGGACCCAGTCAGCTTGGCCACAGCTCCTGGGCTCCCAAGCCACCAGCCGCCTCTCTCGTAGCAAGATGCGGGCTTCAACCTGTCAAACAAAGCAGAGTCAGAGAAGAGCCTCCCGCCAGGCCCAGCCCTCAGCCCCCCTCAGCAGCCAAGACTGCGGGACGGGGCATGGTATGTGTAACACTCACTTCACAGGGTCTGGGACTTGTCAGCCAGGGACTGCTTGCCTGCGGAAACAGAGAGGCATAGGCACGCGGCCCAGACACAGGGCTCGAGAAGCCCGGCCCGCCCCCGCGAGGAACTGCCTGGCCCTGTAACCTGAGACCCCCCTCTGGCCCCATCCACAGAGCCCTGGGACCGACTCACGCACCCATCCCCTCCACTCAGCGTGCACGTATTTTGGACGTGGCAACACAGCGTGCGGCACTTCTCAAGCTTTGGGGGCACATCAGAACCACTCAGGACGTGTGAGACAGGCACATACATCAAGACACACACACACCGTAGAAGCCACACCAGGGCGCAGCGCAAGGGGAGCTAGTGGACAGACGGGGTGTCTCTAAACATACAAAGAGAAGACCGGTAGGGCCGCTTCTCTTTGGCAGCGTGCGGCGCACAGGTCAGACAATACGTTTCCGACCTGTGTATACAACTCGCTGTAAATGCACACAAGGCTCCGGGGCCAAGCCTGCGGGGTTCCCATCCCCTGGGGAGGGTGGTCCCTGTGAGGCTCCTGCACCTGCAGCCCTTCCCCCCTGCAGCCCCCCAGCTGATGCAGTGAGCCACAGCAGTCTGCCCCCGCCCCGGCCCGCCCCGGCCCCGGCCCCGCCCCCGCCCGAGGTTGCTCATACCAAGATGCGCTCTGAGCTCCTCTATTTCTTTCTGGAGTGTCACACACTGGCCGAGCGCAGTGGAGAAGGAAAAGAGATCAGTGTACTCTGGCCTCCTCTCGCCTCCTCTGCCCCTGGCCCTCCATCCCTAGCCCAGGGGTCCTCGTTGGGAAAGGAGGCCCGCTCCGTCCACGTCCTGGGGGGAGGCGGGATGGGGAAACCGGGGTGGGGCGGGGCGGGGCGGGAGGGGACACTTGTGAATAGGACCTGGACTCGCACCCCACCGTCTAGTTGGGACCTGCATTTCTAGGAGCCAGGCGAAGCGCTACCTGAGGACAGCCCTGTGCTGCAGGCGGCTGCCTTTCTGGTCTTGGGGGATGGTCTGGTGGCTCCTGGTCATCTGAAAGAGACACACAAAATGCTGCCTGCAAGGCTGAGAGTGAGGTGGAAAGGGCCTGGCGGGGTCTAACGTGAGGCAGCACCACCCTCTGCTGGCAGCCAGTGGCCCCTGCCCTGCCTGGAGCTCCAACCTTCTCCCTGGGCCCTGCCTGCCCTGCTTCCCAGGGGCGGCCCAGATGCCACCCCGGCCCTGGGTTGGAGGCTCCCACAGCTGCAGCCACAGCCAGCCTCTGGGAGGAGCCATCTGACCCACCAGGACACCCCAGGAACGGCTGTCCTCCCCTCAAAGGCCACTCCTGTGGGCAAGCTGCTCAGGCAGGCAGGGAGGCCTGGCAGCAAGCCCGAGACCCCAGCAGACCGACACACGGCCACAGAGTTCCCTCCCCCCAGCCCGTCTCCCCTCTGCTCCTAAGTAAGCCACAAGACTCACCCGAGGCTGTGGGCCCCCTGAGCATGACGTCTCCCTGACTGGGGACCAAGAGCTGAGAGATTGCAAGAGCTTGGGGGGCTCTGGTGTTGCGGTCTCGAATGCTGAATTGTCCACGGTGCATACTCAGAGATGACCTTGATCTCTGTGCAGGAAGCTAACACACACATCCTCCACTGGTGAACTCGGGGTGTAGGGGTGTGTGTGTGGGTGTGTTTGGGGGCTGGGTGGAGGCTGGCCATGGAAAAGGGAATTCTGAGGCAAACCTCATTAGCACTTTCATTTCACTCTGTCAGCCCCAGGCAGGAGGCAGGGCTGAGCTAGGGAGAGCACTGAGAAAGGAAGGCTTGGGGAACAGCTAGGGGGTAGGAAGCAGAAGGCCATGCCTGCAGACAGGGAAGCTTCCAGGCCCACACTTGCAAGGGCTCCCCCGATGGAAGTCAGCCTGCAGTCCTGCCTTCCACCCAAGGCCCTCCCCAGGGGCAGGTGCAGGAAATCCGCCAAGGCAGGACGACTGTGGGCTGCACGCACGCCAGCACATGCCACGCGCGTGTGCACACACACGCACGCGCATGCACACAGTGCTGTCTCAATGCTGGCCCCCTCGAGAGAGACCCCCAGCTGGCATCCTGCCCACCACGGGAGCCCAAGGACCGCCTCTGAGGACTGGGCAGAGGGGGCATGGGCACAGAGGTGTGTGCCGGGCCAGCGGGTGGGAAGGGGGCAGGAGGCGGGCCTACTCACTTGGCCCTTGGGCACTGGACCTCTGTCTGGGTCATTTTCTTCTCCCGCCACCACCGGCTCCAACTCCCGGGGCTTCCTGGCGCCAGATTTCTTGCCAGAGACACCAGCGCGCTTGGACTGCTTGGTTGCCCACGGCACCGGGCTCTGCTTCTTGGACCTCCCGAGCAGCTGAACGCCGCAGATTGGGGGGAAGCCAGCCGGCTCCAGGGGCGCTGCCTGGACTCTCAGCCCCCAGGGAGGAAAGAGTCTCCCCAGGGCCATCTCGGAGCCAGGGGGCAGGGACTGCCGCACCTGAGCCACCCCCTTCCTAGGAGCGGCCCGGGGCAGCGGCAGGCCCGCCACACCAACGGCTCGCGGGGGGCCGGGCCTGCCGCCCGCCTTGCCCCACAAGGCGCCCTGCATCCTCTTGGAGGCAGCCGCGGCTAGCTCTCCCGCCGCCTGCCTCTCCACCACCGCGGGGAGGCCTCGGGCAGCGGCTGCCAGCAGCGAGCCCAAGCCCGAGCCCGAGCCCGAGCCCAGGGCCGTCCCGTGAACAAAGCCCTCCCTGACCAGGAAGCTCGGCAGGCGGCCTGTGTCTCTGTCTCCAGGATCATCCAGGCTGCTGGCGCTGGCCGGGCCTCCTCTGGTGTAGATGCTCACCCTCATCATGTGGATCTCGCTGATCTCCTCTGGGCACTCGGGGTCGGTGGGCAGAGCCAGCAGGGGGCTGGCGGGGGGCCACGGGTGATCCCTGCCCACGCTCCACCTGCCCTTCGGGGCCCTCTTAGCGACGGCCCCGGCCCGGCCTCCCTGGGCCCTGCTCGCGTGGCTGGGGGCGCCGGCGGCCGGCTGCAGCTCCACGCAGCTCTGGAGCAGCGGGCCTCGCCCACCCGGCCCGGCCTCCAGGCCCGCCCAGATGGCGGCCAAGTCGATGGGGCAGTCCTCTGGGGACAGGCTTCTGTGCCTGCCCCGGGGCTCCTGGGCGCTCCTCCACGCCACAAGGGCCGCCCCACTCGCGTCGGCAGGGCGGGCCGCCGGGGCCTGGGCATCGCCCTTGGGCTGGGCTGAGGAGCCAGGCCGGCCCCGGCGGCCCCCGCGCCTCGGCCTCCCCGCTCCCGGCACATCGTGCTCCCACACGAAGCTCTCGGGCTCCTGGGGCCCACCGTGGACGTCGCCGCCGGCTGCCCCCAACTCAAGGCCTTGGCTGAGTGCCCGCGAGGCCGCGCGCCGGCCACTCTGCGCGCGGGGCCGCTCGCTGCCCTCAGGGCCCGAACCCGCCCCCCAAGCAGTCACCTTCCTGGGGAAGCTCATGGTTCGCGCGCACACGCGTGTGCGGTCAGTGCCGGCCGTGGACACGGGGTCGCACCGGGCCCCGGTGCGGGGCCTGGCCGGTGGCACGGATGCGCCGCGCCGCGCCACGCCGCGAGGCCCTCGCGCACTCCCGGTCGCCTCGCCCGAGGCGCCTCAGGAGCTCGCCTCCCGCCACCAACACCAACGAGCAACTTGCGCGCCCTCAGACGCCGGCACCGCCCTGCCTTCTCATTGGCCAGGCTCCGCGGCGCCGACCAATCGGCTGGCGCGCTTTGCGTTTACCCCCGCCCCCGGGGCCCTGGCTCCCCCTGGCGGCAGGGACCGGTCCCGCGAGGTTCCGGATAGCGTGCCCTTGGTCCCACCTCTTTCTGGACCCCCACCCCCTAATTACAGTCGCGCCTCTGAGCCTCGCTTTGTCACCCAGGAACGCGGGCGAAGGCTGCGCCCCCCCACCCCCCCACAGTGTGGGGGCAGGAGCGGGTGGGCCCTGCTGGGAGCAGGGGGCAGCAGTGGGGAGCCGCTTGTGAGAGTGAAACCGAATGACAGGCCAGAAGCACCCCGTGCGCGCATGCGCTGAAGGACCCACCGGCCTCTAGTCCACAGCCAGATGGCACAGGGGGCAGAGCAAGCCCGCCAAGGCCAAAGATGGGGCTCTGCAAGCTGTTTGGGCGAAGGGCCCGCGAGCCAAGGCTCCCGCATATACAGGCTGCGCGCAGATGGCTACTGCAGCATAGGGGAGGCGGATGGGCCCGGGCCTGCGTGCTGGGGCCTTCATGAAGTAGAAGGCAGGCTTGGAAGGCGGGTCGGCTTCGCCCCCTTTTTGTCCCTGCGCCACTGCCGCTTAATTCAGGGCCGAGGGAATTCTGATGGCCTGTGCACATGCCCAAAGACGGCCTCCAGCACTGCTCTGACGTGCTCTCAGGTCCTGTGCACCTGGTCCCACCCAGCTGGCAAAATAGGAAGGCACCTTCAGGAGTACCATGTTGTGTAGGCTGCCACGGGCCCCGACCCTCCCAAGTAGTGTGTGCTCTAGAGCACACAGAGGCCATGGGAGGGTCAGGGCTTTGCTCACAAAGCTGTCCCAGTCTTGAATGGCTAGGTCTTGGTTGCCAGCCTATTTATGTACAGGAGAGGAGGACCAGGCACCCTGAGAGCACGTCAGAGCAGTGCTGGAGGCCGTCTTTGGGCATGTGCACAGGCCATCAGAATTCCCTCGGCCCTGAATTAAGCGGCAGTGGCGCAGGGACAAAAAGGGGGCGAAGCCGACCCGCCTTCCAAGCCTGCCTTCTACTTCATGAAGGCCCCAGCACGCAGGCCCGGGCCCATCCGCCTCCCCTATGCTGCAGTAGCCATCTGCGCGCAGCCTGTATATGCGGGAGCCTTGGCTCGCGGGCCCTTCGCCCAAACAGCTTGCAGAGCCCCATCTTTGGCCTTGGCGGGCTTGCTCTGCCCCCTGTGCCATCTGGCTGTGGACTAGAGGCCGGTGGGTCCTTCAGCGCATGCGCGCACGGGGTGCTTCTGGCCTGTCATTCGGTTTCACTCTCACAAGCGGCTCCCCCACTGCTGCCCCCTGCTCCCAGCAGGGCCCACCCGCTCCTGGCCCCACACTGTGGGGGGTGGGGGGGCGCAGCCTTCGCCCGCGTTCCTGGGTGACAAAGCGAGGCTCAGAGGCGCGACTGTAATTAGGGGGTGGGGGTCCAGAAAGAGGTGGGACCAAGGGCACGCTATCCGGAACCTCGCGGGACCGGTCCCTGCCGCCAGGGGGAGCCAGGGCCCCGGGGGCGGGGGTAAACGCAAAGCGCGCCAGCCGATTGGTCGGCGCCGCGGAGCCTGGCCAATGAGAAGGCAGGGCGGTGCCGGCGTCTGAGGGCGCGCAAGTTGCTCGTTGGTGTTGGTGGCGGGAGGCGAGCTCCTGAGGCGCCTCGGGCGAGGCGACCGGGAGTGCGCGAGGGCCTCGCGGCGTGGCGCGGCGCGGCGCATCCGTGCCACCGGCCAGGCCCCGCACCGGGGCCCGGTGCGACCCCGTGTCCACGGCCGGCACTGACCGCACACGCGTGTGCGCGCGAACCATGAGCTTCCCCAGGAAGGTGACTGCTTGGGGGGGGTTCGGCCCTGAGGGCAGCGAGCGGCCCCGCGCGCAGAGTGGCCGGCGCGCGGCCTCGCGGGCACTCAGCCAAGGCCTTGAGTTGGGGGCAGCCGGCGGCGACGTCCACGGTGGGCCCCAGGAGCCCGAGAGCTTCGTGTGGGAGCACGATGTGCCGGGAGCGGGGAGGCCGAGGCGCGGGGGCCGCCGGGCCGGCCTGGCTCCTCAGCCCAGCCCAAGGGCGATGCCCAGGCCCCGGCGGCCCGCCCTGCCGACGCGAGTGGGGCGGCCCTTGTGGCGTGGAGGAGCGCCCAGGAGCCCCGGGCAGGCACAGAAGCCTGTCCCCAGAGGACTGCCCCATCGACTTGGCCGCCATCTGGGCGGGCCTGGAGGCCGGGCCGGGTGGGCGAGGCCCGCTGCTCCAGAGCTGCGTGGAGCTGCAGCCGGCCGCCGGCGCCCCCAGCCACGCGAGCAGGGCCCAGGGAGGCCGGGCCGGGGCCGTCGCTAAGAGGGCCCCGAAGGGCAGGTGGAGCGTGGGCAGGGATCACCCGTGGCCCCCGCCAGCCCCCTGCTGGCTCTGCCCACCGACCCCGAGTGCCCAGAGGAGATCAGCGAGATCCACATGATGAGGGTGAGCATCTACACCAGAGGAGGCCCGGCCAGCGCCAGCAGCCTGGATGATCCTGGAGACAGAGACACAGGCCGCCTGCCGAGCTTCCTGGTCAGGGAGGGCTTTGTTCACGGGACGGCCCTGGGCTCGGGCTCGGGCTCGGGCTTGGGCTCGCTGCTGGCAGCCGCTGCCCGAGGCCTCCCCGCGGTGGTGGAGAGGCAGGCGGCGGGAGAGCTAGCCGCGGCTGCCTCCAAGAGGATGCAGGGCGCCTTGTGGGGCAAGGCGGGCGGCAGGCCCGGCCCCCGCGAGCCGTTGGTGTGGCGGGCCTGCCGCTGCCCCGGGCCGCTCCTAGGAAGGGGGTGGCTCAGGTGCGGCAGTCCCTGCCCCCTGGCTCCGAGATGGCCCTGGGGAGACTCTTTCCTCCCTGGGGGCTGAGAGTCCAGGCAGCGCCCCTGGAGCCGGCTGGCTTCCCCCAATCTGCGGCGTTCAGCTGCTCGGGAGGTCCAAGAAGCAGAGCCCGGTGCCGTGGGCAACCAAGCAGTCCAAGCGCGCTGGTGTCTCTGGCAAGAAATCTGGCGCCAGGAAGCCCCGGGAGTTGGAGCCGGTGGTGGCGGGAGAAGAAAATGACCCAGACAGAGGTCCAGTGCCCAAGGGCCAAGTGAGTAGGCCCGCCTCCTGCCCCCTTCCCACCCGCTGGCCCGGCACACACCTCTGTGCCCATGCCCCCTCTGCCCAGTCCTCAGAGGCGGTCCTTGGGCTCCCGTGGTGGGCAGGATGCCAGCTGGGGGTCTCTCTCGAGGGGGCCAGCATTGAGACAGCACTGTGTGCATGCGCGTGCGTGTGTGTGCACACGCGCGTGGCATGTGCTGGCGTGCGTGCAGCCCACAGTCGTCCTGCCTTGGCGGATTTCCTGCACCTGCCCCTGGGAGGGCCTTGGGTGGAAGGCAGGACTGCAGGCTGACTTCCATCGGGGGAGCCCTTGCAAGTGTGGGCCTGGAAGCTTCCCTGTCTGCAGGCATGGCCTTCTGCTTCCTACCCCCTAGCTGTTCCCCAAGCCTTCCTTTCTCAGTGCTCTCCCTAGCTCAGCCCTGCCTCCTGCCTGGGGCTGACAGAGTGAAATGAAAGTGCTAATGAGGTTTGCCTCAGAATTCCCTTTTCCATGGCCAGCCTCCACCCAGCCCCCAAACACACCCACACACACACCCCTACACCCCGAGTTCACCAGTGGAGGATGTGTGTGTTAGCTTCCTGCACAGAGATCAAGGTCATCTCTGAGTATGCACCGTGGACAATTCAGCATTCGAGACCGCAACACCAGAGCCCCCCAAGCTCTTGCAATCTCTCAGCTCTTGGTCCCCAGTCAGGGAGACGTCATGCTCAGGGGCCCACAGCCTCGGGTGAGTCTTGTGGCTTACTTAGGAGCAGAGGGGAGACGGGCTGGGGGGAGGGAACTCTGTGGCCGTGTGTCGGTCTGCTGGGGTCTCGGGCTTGCTGCCAGGCCTCCCTGCCTGCCTGAGCAGCTTGCCCACAGGAGTGGCCTTTGAGGGGAGGACAGCCGTTCCTGGGGTGTCCTGGTGGGTCAGATGGCTCCTCCCAGAGGCTGGCTGTGGCTGCAGCTGTGGGAGCCTCCAACCCAGGGCCGGGGTGGCATCTGGCCGCCCCTGGGAAGCAGGGCAGGCAGGGCCCAGGGAGAAGGTTGGAGCTCCAGGCAGGGCAGGGGCCACTGGCTGCCAGCAGAGGGTGGTGCTGCCTCACGTTAGACCCCGCCAGGCCCTTTCCACCTCACTCTCAGCCTTGCAGGCAGCATTTTGTGTGTCTCTTTCAGATGACCAGGAGCCACCAGACCATCCCCCAAGACCAGAAAGGCAGCCGCCTGCAGCACAGGGCTGTCCTCAGGTAGCGCTTCGCCTGGCTCCTAGAAATGCAGGTCCCAACTAGACGGTGGGGTGCGAGTCCAGGTCCTATTCACAAGTGTCCCCTCCCGCCCCGCCCCGCCCCACCCCGGTTTCCCCATCCCGCCTCCCCCCAGGACGTGGACGGAGCGGGCCTCCTTTCCCAACGAGGACCCCTGGGCTAGGGATGGAGGGCCAGGGGCAGAGGAGGCGAGAGGAGGCCAGAGTACACTGATCTCTTTTCCTTCTCCACTGCGCTCGGCCAGTGTGTGACACTCCAGAAAGAAATAGAGGAGCTCAGAGCGCATCTTGGTATGAGCAACCTCGGGCGGGGGCGGGGCCGGGGCCGGGGCGGGCCGGGGCGGGGGCAGACTGCTGTGGCTCACTGCATCAGCTGGGGGGCTGCAGGGGGGAAGGGCTGCAGGTGCAGGAGCCTCACAGGGACCACCCTCCCCAGGGGATGGGAACCCCGCAGGCTTGGCCCCGGAGCCTTGTGTGCATTTACAGCGAGTTGTATACACAGGTCGGAAACGTATTGTCTGACCTGTGCGCCGCACGCTGCCAAAGAGAAGCGGCCCTACCGGTCTTCTCTTTGTATGTTTAGAGACACCCCGTCTGTCTCACTAGCTCCCCTTGCGCTGCGCCCTGGTGTGGCTTCTACGGTGTGTGTGTGTCTTGATGTATGTGCCTGTCTCACACGTCCTGAGTGGTTCTGATGTGCCCCCAAAAGCTTGAGAAGTGCCGCACGCTGTGTTGCCACGTCCAAAATACGTGCACGCTGAGTGGAGGGGATGGGTGCGTGAGTCGGTCCCAGGGCTCTGTGGATGGGGCCAGAGGGGGGTCTCAGGTTTACAGGGCCAGGCAGTTCCTCGCGGGGGCGGGCCGGGCTTCTCGAGCCCTGTGTCTGGGCCGGGTGCCTATGCCTCTCTGTTTCCGCAGGCAAGCAGTCCCTGGCTGACAAGTCCCAGACCCTGTGAAGTGAGTGTTACACATACCATGCCCCGTCCCGCAGTCTTGGCTGCTGAGGGGGCTGAGGGCTGGGCCTGGCGGGAGGCTCTTCTCTGACTCTGCTTTGTTTGACAGGTTGAAGCCCGCATCTTGCTACGAGAGAGGCGGCTGGTGGCTTGGGAGCCCAGGAGCTG